TAAGTTTTTTTAAAAGTTTTTTGAATATCAGATTTTCTAAAACAGAAAATGGTTGTGAATTAGATATAAGAAATTCAACTACCATGTTATCAACTTGCTCTTTATATTCAACATTATCCTTGAATCATTGATGAAACATATCATCAATTGATACTTGGGAGTTATCTAATATTAGTTTTCCAAATTTTGTAATCCCATGTGTAATATGAAAATGATAACTAAAATTTCCTGTACTGCCATCAGTTTCAATAATATGATTATATTTTGTACCATCATTTTTTAACACATCACACTGGCCTTTAGATCCATGTTTAGTAGGTAAGTCCTTGAAATGGTCCCATATCCAGCTTCTTTTCCTGGAACCTCTTCTTTTTTTTGATTGATTATTATCTATCAAATATGTAGTAACAATATCATCATTTAAGCAACTAATAGAAGTTTCGCTTGAGGTTTTATTAAATTGTAAAGAATCTTCGCTATCCATTATTATGAATGAGTATAAAAAAAATTATTATTAAGGTAAATATAAATAAGAAAAAATTATTGTATAATCGTATAATCAAAATAAAAAGCTTATAATTTCATTTATTTATGTCATTATAATGCATCATTATTTTATTAATCGAAGCATCAGATAGTTTAATGTCATTTATTTATATCATAACGATAATATATCATTGTTATTAATCAAAGTATCGGATAGTTAAACATGTATCCGACTATCTGCAATACGTATATTCGTTATCCGATACAAACGGATATCTAATTGAAAATCCGACGGATTTTTTGATCGGATCCAAGCACTATATATATTTATAAAATATTACTGTACTAAATTTAGTACGTATAGCAAAAAAGGTCATAAATTTTTTTTACTTAAATTTAATTTATATGAAATTTGTATATAAATACTATCTGATTTTTTGCATAAATAAAATATAGGAATTACTTTATATTTTAGCAAAATATAAATTAATTGTATCGTTATTGAGTTATAATTTTTGTAAATCGTACTAAATTTAGTACAGATGGCTAACGGATACCCA